GGGGGGGGGGGGCGAGCAAAACAGAAAATGGGTTGTGTTTATCTGTATTTGCATAGTGCAAGTGATTGTGGTGTATTGCGAAGTGGCACTGCTGCTGTAGGTAGAGGGTTCGACTCTAGCGTCCCTGTGCTAATCATTCATTTGTTTCAGTGATAAATTGTTGTTTGTATATGTTAAATCTGCCATCGCATTGTAAGCATTCCTTGAAAGAGGAAGCCGTCGACAGCCTTGCTAGCGTGTGGTTGCTGTTGGCATGGGGAGCGAATACGTACGAACGTGGCTTTCACTTTTGACTTGTACAGTACTACTAGCGCCTCCTAATCTTATCTTCCCGTGCTTGTTAAACTGATAGTGCTGACATTTGTCCCCCATTTTTGTGCGTTTTATGTTGCAGCAGTTGCGCATAGTCTCTCTCTCTATATGTTCCGAATTGTTTTTTTCCGGAATTTCCAACTCGGTAACCGGGAGCTGAAATTTTAACGGGATGTCCCCTGCCTGTTTTTGATCTAACAAACTCATATTCAGTCGGCGTCTACGCCTAGGAATCATGTGCGACCAAGTGAAAATTGTGGTAAAAAAAATTATTATCGCGGAAATCACGAAAGCTAGGAGATTGAGATTTCAGAGCTGTTTTCTGTCTCTGCAGTGACCTCACAGGCTCAAATTTAGCTCCCAAGTATGCCGGGGTCTCACGTACGGCTAATTAAAGGTTTTGGCATGAAAGTAACTAATTGGAAAGCCAGAAAACTAGGCGACTTTTTGTGGAATGATGTTCCCCGTCTATGTGTGACCCAAAGATTTCAAATTTAGAATTAATATGTTATGTACCTCTGTGTAAAATTTTTAGTAGAAATTTCGCAGCTTAGTAGAAATTTCCGACAATATATCAGTTATTTTTGGACATACGCCAGTTCCTAATGGCAGTCGTCCACTGGAAAAAACATCTCAAAACGCATGATCGCAACACTTACCCTGGTGCGCGCTGCTATTTATATTGAGAGGCAGCGAGGCTCCGGCTGAAGAATGTAGCCATTGTTTTTTTTTTTTCTGTTCACTGTAGTTATTGTTTTCATCATAGGTAAAATTCTGCAGTACCGGATGTGTAGCGTGCTGCGTTTTTATAAATGAGAAGCGAAGCAACATG